TAATTTAACTACATTTAACCGCCAACGAAGAACAAGTTTATTCCATAGAATTTCAGTTTCATTAAAGAAGCTTTTATTTCAAAACTTTCTCATTAGTTTTCTTGTGTGTTTTGTCTAGTATGTGCCCCGCATAGGTGGAAGATGAGTATTGAATTTTATTATGCACCCGCATTGCATGATTACTACAATACTCACAACCGGGTTGCAGTCACGATTACATTCCTTTGAGGAATAAGTATTTAAATGAGAATGGAAGAGCGACAAGCTTTTCTCTTATCGTTTTCTTGTATTTTTTTTTCCCTTCTCCTTTCTCTTTATTTATTTCCGCGGTCATTTGTGGTCGCATATTCAAAGTTCAAAGTCATAATCTTAATGCATCTTAATTTTTTTTTATTTATAAATGTTTATTTATTCCACTATATTGTTTTTTTTAATCGCTTTTTAGAAAAATAAATACCGAATGCATTATAAATAAATAGTTTTTTTTATGATCTATTTTTAACTTGTTGTTTAGGATTAGAGAATAGCTTAGATTTAAAATTAATGTATTTCATTAAAATAAGCCATATTAGAAATTTCGTTATTATATTGATTTGAAATTATTTAATCGTTTGTTTGCAATAGCTGTCTTACTTGCTTTGAAATAGTTGCTTTTAATTTCATATAATTTATCTATAATAATAAAATGAAGTGTTTATATGTCGGTGGAAACTCCAGAAACATTTGTTCTAGCATCCTGTAATGAACACGGTGGATGTAAGGAACAATTTCAACTACCGATCCTAAAATTCGTTCGACATTTTCAGTTAGTTCCTTCAGTTGAGCCGTATGAAAAAGTAAATTGTTTCATTGGGAGCCAGCTAGCAGTCTAGCTAGCTAGTAAGCAACACGCCATTGATAAAAATGAGACTGCTGCAGACGATTTTTTTCTTTCAAATATTTTAGAGATTACGCCAATGATATTTGCTAGCTTTTAGCTTACAGCTATAAATCAAAATAGTTGTCTATTAGAAAAATAGTTTCGTTGTAACACGGTTTCATATTTTTGATCAAAATTATAAGTAATGTGGTCCAAATAGTGTAACTGGGAAAGCACTCGAGTTTCTCAGAATTAATTTTACTTTTTGTATTTTAAATGAGGTTAGTTTAAATTTATCTTGTCTTGTTTTCTATTCTTGCAATGTTTTTTATTATTTTGTTTTCACGTTGAATCGAATAAGACTGTACACTAGTCAATTGAACGAATTAAAGGGTTTTTGTGTTTAAAAAGTACTTTTTAGACATGTACTTATGCACGCTTTTTACATTGCTATTCTAAACATGCAAGGAATCATTTTTGATGTCATTTTTTATGCTTATAAAACAAGAATTCATTAAGGTAAGTAGTTAAAAAGTTATAAGGGTAAAGGTACAATTTTGTACTTACAGTTATGTATGCATCTCGTATTGCTATATCGACAAGTGTGGTATTGTTTCCTAGATATTTTCTCGAATCGAATGAAAAAATATTGAATCAAGTAATAGAATGAAAAAAAGGACTAAGATTTCAAAAGTCGCAGTGTTTTTTTAAATATAAAAAAAAACTATTTTTTGAATTGTATTCTTCTGGATTAGGGTCAAAATTACAAGGCTACGGCGTTGAACATTGTTAGTGTTAGTCATAAATTCAAAATTGTGTTGGCTGTTCAACGATGGTTGTATCCAAGTCAAAATGGTCCCAATCAAAAAAAATTGATGGTTTATATGGTTTCAGTGCGATTCATGATGGTCCAACATCATTTGATGGCCACCATCATCCAACATTTTCCATTACGTGTTCATGGTTCTTGATATGCCAACAAATTTCCATCATTCCATGATGGAAAATGCTACTTTAATACTATTTAATATTATGATGGTCAACCATCAAGAGAAGTTTGATTCTCATGGTCCAACAGTCCGTGATGGTTCCAACTAAACATTTCGATAATGGTTGATTAGGAATTTTTGTTGGTTCATCATAAATCAGTCCGAATTCCTACTTTGGGATGATGGTTGTTCATGGTCGTTCCAACATTTGATTTGAAGAATACTATGATGGAAATTCGTGATGGTTCATCATGAACAAACCATCAAAACAAGTTGCTATTCTTATGTTGGACCATCATACATCAGTCCGAATTCCTACACTAAAGTGATGGTTACTTATGTTGATTGTATCAAAAAATATAATGTCTCATGATGAAAATATTGATGGTTACCATCAAGATTATGTTGGTCCATCAATGGAAAACCATCAAGAATTTTAACTTGAGTAAATAAATAAAAATGACATAACAAAGCTTTTCGCCAAAAAAAAAAAAAAAAAAAAAAAAAAAAAAATGGGCTACTAATAATAAAAAATAAAGAAATAAGGAAAATTATTTTTAGCTTTATTAATTGTGTCGTCCAATGCCTTTCTGTTTTGTGCATGTTCTCTAATGTTGTCCAGTCCTAATTTATTCATTCTTTTTTTAATTTTTTTTATTCACTCCGTACGAAAAACGGTTGATCAACTACTAATAAATAAATAAAAATATTGGAATTTATTGGTTGAGTTGGTAAAATGTACTTACAATTTAGTAGTGTTGTCGAGCGCTGATTCATTGATTATTTTCTTTTTTCGTACGAAGAACACGTACGAAAAAAGAAAATCAGCTAGTTTATTAATATTTAAAATTTTGAACAGTAAATTTAACCGGCACAACTTATTATGTAACTTAATCAGAAATAACTTCCCAATTTAACATGGCGCGTAGCGTTTTTAAAAAGTGCTTAAAGGTTCTTATTTCTGATTTTCGTTTTTTAAAAGTCCTTAAAGGTGCTTTTTTCATGGGGTGTTTTTAAAGAGTGCTTCATTTTCCCTTTTCGAAAATGGGATTCTTTTTCTTTACCAAGTCAATTTTATCCACGTATTATGCAAAAGCGCGCTTTTCAACGTTTTAACAATTCATTCAACCAAAATCTATTTCAGCGCACCTTCAATCCCTAGCGTATGAAAGCGCCAATCATTTTACAGGTTAGATGAAATACTTGCGAGTCTGTTGTTGTTGTTGTAGTTCATTTTACGTCGCACTAGAGCTGCACAATCGACTATTGGCGACGGTGTGGGAAACATTCCTGAGGATGATCACAATTTTGATCCTCTGCAGAGGGGATTCCCTCCCCCGCTTCTGTAGCCCGACAACCTGCACGCGAAGTCGAGCACTTTACGGTAGAACAGTTTAACGAGGACCAATACCGCCCACCCTCGGTCCGTATGCAGACTGATCCAAGTGGTCACGTGAGATTATTGCACTCTCATGTGCAACTCAACTTATTTGCATTTTGCAAGATATTCTCAATATCAAGCTTCATTTTCTACCCTCTGAAATAAAATTGAAAAATCTCTCGATCACTTAATGACTAATATAATCAAGAAAAGAGTTCTTTGGTCAAAAACTAATTATTTTATCATGATCATGTAAAATCTTTGAAAATTGTTTTGTTAATGTACATAGTGCTTAAAAATATTTTTGAGTGTTTTAAAAGTACTTAAAAAGTGCTTATTTTCTTGTTGAAAATTTAGCTACGCACTCTGTTTCATACAGATCACGGTTGAAACGGATGCAGTGTCGGGTTAAATACCTAGTATTGGGTTATGAACCTCAGATCCATTAATAATATTATTGACATTGCGTGGCTTTTCTGTCTCCTTGCACTGCTTCATATTACGTTTATGGCCATTTCGTGCGAATATTTGTGGGTCTTCTGGTATTAGTTTGCTATAAAAAAGTATAATTTAAAACTCGCGGAGGAAGAAAAAGAAAAAACTACATGGCCAGTGTGAAAACATTATGTTGTTATAAATCCAGTTGGCGATTTTTTTTTTTATTTTTTGTAGGATTAAAAAATGATTCATGATCGTCCGCCAGCGTTTGACTTTTTTTTATTTTTATCTTAATCTTATTGGAGAAAATTTAAAAGCTGCTGCTCTATGCAATTAAGACTCTTTATTGTAATCTTAGGGTCAATGACACTTTTGTAGTTTTTGTATTAATTAATTAATAGATAATTAAAATTCAAATGGATGCAGTTTTTTTATAGTTATTTAATAATGTATACAGTTGTAAATATAGCTTTGTTATTAATGATTATAAAATAAAAAATATAAGAACTACGTTTTTAAGTTGAGGGAAATTTATAGCGATGATTAAGTTTATTACTTTGTCTATTTTTTTTCTTTTTACGTGTGACAAAAATTGGAATTATTTTCTTTTTTGTGCAATTGAAAAGAAAACACACATTTTTTGAAATTTTTATTTTCAACTTGGTGTCTGAGTCCTATTCCAGGATGCAATCAAAATTCATCGCCGATAAAATACACATAAGTTTTACTTGCTAGATTTAGGAAATTATTACCGCCTTTTACGAACCTCTAGTTAAAATTTGAGTACTCTAGGTCAGTGGTTCCCAACTTTTTTTTTTCGTCTGTGGTACCCTAACTGATTTTTTTTTTTTTTTTTTGGCGGAACCTCGGCATTATAAAAACGAAGTTCATTAACATCTGTGAGTATACAAACTAAAAAAGAAAAAAAAAATTATTCATAATTTTGAAGAATATTTTATGCGAAAAAGATAGCTGAATATTTTGAAATGTGAAGGATTAAATATTGAATATTATGATTTTGTTCTTGGTACTTGGTGCTAGGCATATACTGAAAATGAATAAAATAAGCTGAATTACGGTTTTCATAAAAGAACTGCTATAAACGTTAAGAATAACTATGTTTTTGCATTTTGTTGATTTCATGTTTAGAAATTAATAACTTTAAGCAATAGTGGGACATAATTTTTATTGTTGCACATATCCTAATTACGATTTTTTTTTTTTGGAAATTGATTAATAATATTTTTTGAGTGCTTGAAAGGTGCTTATTTTTTTATTGAAAAATGTGGCTACTAGTATTATCTTATCAATATTATTTATAGTATAAATGAATTTTTCACATAGTAAAATGTATTTATTTTTTTTCCTTATTCTAGATACAGTCAATAGGCAGCTTGCTACATCAGAATACCAGGTAAGTAATGTTCAATGTTATCTGTGATTCATATGGTAACTTTTGATGTAGGAATCAAATTTTTATTCCCGATTTGGAGTGTAGAATTAGCATTTGCTATTGTGTAATTCCATCATTTACGAAGGTCGGTTTTGCAGAATTTAGAAACATATATCTCAGTTCAAATTGCGAGCAGTTTTTATAATTTTTGTCTTAGAGTCAATTACACTTTTTAAATTTCAGTATCTCTCTGTATTAAAAAAAAATCATAATAGCTGCTGTTCGACGTTCTTTTTTGGGGGGGGGGGGTGCTCAGCTTATTGTCGCATTTTGTTTTGCTGTGCAAAAACTATAAGATTTAAAAACTTTTTATAATTTTATAACCGTCGCTGAACAGTCGATCCAATTTTATGTGTTTAAGACTACTAATGTTCAGCTCCGTAGCCTTGTCATTTTGAACCCATTCCAGAAGACAAGGGAACTCCTGGATCGAGTATTGGGAGAAATTTGCCTTCGTGGAGAACTTTTTGATGGAGCTAACCCGCATTTGCGTTACATGGAGAGAAAGACCACGAGAACCTCCCACGGTTAGCCTGACGGCAAGGAACTTTAACCCATGATCCGTCTACCACTGAGGATATTTCACGTCAGCACTGTGGTCGGTGCAAGCCGGATGCGGAATTCGTATCGACTGGGATTCGAACCCATTTCGCCACATCCGAAGGCGAACGCTCTATCCCCTGAGCCATCGCGGCTCAGATTTAAGAGCTTAAATTACTTAGGTGGCCGGGATTACTGGTTGATAGGGCACTGGGCCCATGTCCAAGAGCTCATGGGTTCGATCCCCGGCCGACCGAAGGCTCCCCGTGTAATAAGTAAATGGTGACTGATGCACGTTAAATCTGCCGAGTCGCATAGCCCTCCATCTTCCCATAACAAATCAATACCTTTGGGGGTACTGATCTTGTTACTATTGCCTAAAAGTGCCGTAGTGGAATGACACGATTCCCAGTCGAACAGCAATCAAGCATGACTGGCTGCGGTCAGTAAGCGGGTGGGTGATCACTTTGATCAGCCTGCGTAGAGACCTAGGGTGTGCGGTATTGGTCCTTGTTAAATTGTTCTACCGTAAAGTTTTCGACTTCGCGCAGGTCGTTGGGCTTCGAAAGCAGGGGGGCCATCCCTCCTGCAGAGGATCAAAATAGCGATGACAGGTCTTCGGATCATCCTCAGGGATGTTTTTCGGACCGTCGCCAGTAGCCCATTGTGCAGCTCTAGTGCGACGTAAATAAAGTACCTGCATACTATTGCCTAAAGCAAAAACCATTTAATGTCAGTTATAAATGGAAATTCTTTCGAGGAATATTGCTTCAGGGCAAAATATTTTTATATTTTATTCTCATTGTTGATTACGAAATATCCCTAAAAATTACCTACCTGTACACTGTTTTAAATATTGCGTAATAGTGTACAACAAATATTTGTTATTATTGTAAATTGTGCTGATTTTATTTATTTAATTTTTTTTTTGTCCTAGCAACTATGTTGTTTTAATGTCCAGGGGTTAAGGCACTGACGGTGTTCCCACGGATCAAGAAGAACCGGGAAAACCTGGAATTGTCAGGGAAAAATGCAATTTTTTTTATTACAAAAACCTGGAAAATTCCTTCATTGTACCTGGAAAAGAAAACAGTCTTAAAATTGTAATAGTACTCAGTAACAGTACTCAGCAGTAACAGTACTCAGCTGTTGAAATTCGAGTTAAATAATTCTAACATCTATTACAATTATTTATTGTAAAAATTTCACATTTTAGATAAACTGAAATGCTTTCTTCCTCATATAATGTTATTTATTTTACATAGAAAATCTAATACTTGGCATTANAGCTGTTGAAATTCGAGTTAAATAATTCTAACATCTATTACAATTATTTATTGTAAAAATTTCACATTTTAGATAAACTGAAATGCTTCCTTCTTCATATAATGTTATTTATTTTACATATAAAATCTAATACTTGGCATTACAAATAAAAGAATCAAAATTTTCTGATGAAAAATTTCGTAGTATAGATAAAATATGGTATTGATTTTCATTGAAATTTACCTGATATACCTGGAAAAGTCAGGGAATTTTTTTTTATTTCTGAAATTGAGTGGGAACCCTGCACTGAATTTTCATTCTGAATAACTCAGCGTCGATTTCCAGTTTCGGCTTGAAGACCACCCACTTTTAGAGCGACCAGCTTGTCTGGAAAGTAAAGGCAAACTGTGCGCAATCCTGTCAACATTGCCACCATTATGCCGTAGGTCGCGATATTGTGAATCCCTTATCTCGATTACCCCCTGGTCGCAATGAGCTGTAGCGGGAATACTTTCCTTTATTTACGTTATGTAATGACTTAAATAATCATATGATTATTAATAACCACAAATCAGTCGTTCGAATGAAATTTATTTATAAAAATATGCTGCTTAATTGGTTTGCATAGTAGAGAAGAAAAAAACAGTCAGTAGTGATTGTCAGCCTGCCACTTGTCAAATTATCTGTGTGCCCCACATAAGGTTTAATCGCACCCTCCGTTTCACCTAAAAAATAGAAAGGACGAAAAAAAAAATTAGGCGAGACCGGTTATTCGCACCAATGCTCCAACCACATCTCCCTCAAACGATTGTTTTCCCTTTTGAGTAGTTGGCCTTGGATTCTTAAAAAAAAGTAAATAATAAAAAGGGGTGACGCCATTTCATCAGAGGTCCCATCCACGTGTTCCCCTGATGCATCCCAAATGTAAGTAACGCATAAATGAAGAACTTTCTGCTATCGTCTGTTAATGCAGAAGTAAAAACGGAACGATTTCTGATTGAGTGATAGAATTTTTACGTTTATTAAAAGGGGTAGTTCAAACGTAACGCAAGCATATTTTTTTGGAAATTTTGGACTCCTTTCTTCGCAACAAAACATGTTGTCCCTCTCCAAATTATTCGACGCACTTTTAAGATTCTCTGTAAAATCTTCATCATTAGATAATACTACTAAAAAAAATACTACTTTTACGTTGCTGAAACCGGTTTAGATTTGTTTATGTTTGTGTATCAATTGGTTAACATTGTGATGCATTACGTTAAAAATAAATGCAAATGGGAAGTATATAAAAATTCTCCTGAATAAAAACCCCTTACATGTATGTTTCAATATAAAAGTATTGTATATAAACTCGTGCAAATCATGTCATTATCAAAACACTGTAGTGTGTCTAATAGTTTGGTCTAGTTATTATAATATACTAATATATTACCTGATATAATAAATATTCCATATTTATATAATACATCGTCTAATTTATCCAATCGTTGAAATTATATATCGACTAATTTAGCCAATTGATACACGAATGTAAAGAGGTGCTAATCGGTTTCAGCCACATAAAAACAAAGCTGTATAGTATCACCTGGTAATTAAGATTTTACATAGAATCTTAAAGTGCATCGAATAATTTTGGCCATGGGCTGTTGCAGAAATTCCATAGGAAAATTGAAACCAATAGAATATATAAAGAAGTAAACAATGAAAAAGTATGAATATGACAACCGAAGCTGACGTAGTGAGGGGGATACCAGCCCCGGACCGGAAGTCAGAAATGCAAAACCTCTTCTATCGAGAGAGCAAGACAAATGTCTTGTCTTAAGTTGTTCTCTCTGTATCAAAAGTTCAGGTAGAGAAAAATAGAATTAAAATTACAAAAACCAAATACAAAAATTTAATATTTAAACTAATACAAACGAAATCAATGTTGTTTGACATTGATTTCGTTGTAGTATTAGTTTAAATATTATACTTTTGTATTTGGTTTTTGTAATTTTAATTCCATTCAGCTTCAGTTGCCATATTTTTCATTTCTTCATTGTTTCAAGTTATTTATTGTTAATTAAGTTATTCATTGTTATCAGAAAAGTTTTAATTTGTAAGTTAGATGGAACCTTTTGTTTTCAATTACTCCGAATTGAGTGAAAATGAGTGTACAAAATGATAGCTTTCAATTTCAAAAAAGTTATTCAGATCAAGATTTTCCACTCGTCTCATGCGTTCGTAAACTCCACCAATCTCCGTAATTTTCATTAACAGAATTCAGTGCTCTTACGCCTTTGCATGCGTAACGACCTTCACATACTTGTTTTCTTTTTTTTGTCCATATCCTCTTTTTTCCCCTTAGGTTAACGCTATTTTTTTTTTATTTTTTTATTATTATAATAAACTTCTGCCAACAAGTGGATCATTTATTTTGGTATCGACTGGGATTCGAACCCAGTTCGCCTCATTGGAAGGANAATATACTAATATATAACCTGATATAATAAATATTCAATATTTATATAATACATCGTCTAATTTATCCAATATACTAATATATAACCTGATATAATAAATATTCCATATTTATATAATTCTTCTTCTTCTTCTCATTGGCACGACAGCCCAGGATGGGCCTTGGCCTTCTCAACAAGCCTATGCCAAGACATTCTTCCCTTAGCCAAGGTTCTCCAGTTAATTATCTTTAAAATTTGTAGGTCCTTTTCAAGGCAGTCTAAAAATCTTAGATTTGGTCGTCCTCTTTTTCTTGTACCTGTTGGCCTGGCACAGAAAACTTTTTTCGTTGTTACATCGTCTAATACATCGGTTAATACATCGTCATGTGGTTAATACATCGTCTAATTTATCCAATCGTTGAAATTATATATCGTTTAATTTAACCAATTGATACACGAACGTAAACAGGTGCAAATCGGTTTCAGTCACATAAAAACAATAAAGCTGTATAGAGTATCATCTGATAATTAAGATTTTACATAGAATCTTATAGTGCGTCTAATAATTTTGGCCATGGGCTGTATATAGTGCCATGGGCTGCAGCAGAAATTCCATAACAAAATTGAAACCAATAGAATATATAAAAAAGTAAACAATGAAAAAATATGAATACGACAACCGAATCTGACGTCGTCAAAGGGGTACCAGCCCCG